AGCGGGGCGGGGCGAGCGCAGGTAAGGGGGCTCCCGCGGCGCTGCCGGGGTCCGGCTCGGCCTCGGAGCAAAGCGGGAGGGCAGTGGAGCCAGACTTGGCCCCCCTCGCCAGGCTGCAAGGCGAGCCCTGCCTCGTGTCCCGGCCTGCTAGCAGGTCAAGCAAGGCCTGCGCCTCCCCTGTGCAGGGGCCTTGGAGGCTGGGTGGGGGGGCAGACCTGATTGCACAAGGTCCTTTCCAGCCCTGAGGGTGTGAGACCCTGCCAGGGGACAGAGCCCTTGCCATGGCACCGACCCTGCAACTCCTGGTTTTAGGAGGGGAACCCTTAGGAGTTTGCAACTGATTCATCTTGTGCGTCCCACTTGCCACCGCCCTGCACAAGTCACCTGGTACCCGGGGAGCCCGCGCTCTGTTTGCTTTTAAAGCACTGTGTCTGTTCGTGTCGCTTCCCTTGGTAGTTTCTGTACCTGCCTGGTGGGCTTAGAGTCATTTGCTGATTATTTCACAATCGAATACAGATAACGCGTCCACCTTGGATTGTTCCCGCTCGCACGTCTTGCGCTAAGAGGTGGAGCAAGAATGTGACTGTGCAAAAAAACTGGCTAGGGTTATAACGAGTCCTCGGCACCTTTGTCAACGCAGAAGCAAATCGTGTTAAAGCTTCTTTATTTCAACGCACAGGTGACCATGAAACTCATCATTCTGGAAAACTATGGACAGACCAGCGAGTGGGCTGCAAAGTTCATTAGGAATCGAATCATTCAGTTTAGCCCTGGTCCGGACAAATACTTCACTCTTGGACTTCCCACAGGTAAGACCAGAACTAGAGGGAACAATATGGACTCTCTTGAACTTGCAAACTTGTTTTAGCACTGGTGATTGTACGAGCCAGTCGCATTGTTTTGGGGGACTCGGAATCAGAAGAACTAGTCCCTCGCGCTGCCCATGGGATACTTGGGAGCTAAAGCTGCAGATTGGTACACATGGCTACTTCTCATTTCTTTTATACTCAGCAGTAAATGTTATTATCTTCAAAGCAGCTTTGGGCAGACACTGACAACTTCACTTTCTTCCTAGGAAGTAGATGAATAGTGATTCCTCCCCCCAACCAGTCTGAGACCCAGAAGCAATATGACTTTGTGCGCTTACTTGCAAAGCTCGGTAAAGTGCACTGAGTCTGCTGCTCCTCCGCCAGGTTCTGCTCCGAGCAGGATTTTGAACAGATGGTGCCGGTACTGAATTTGCAGTCTGTGTTTGTGCAAGAGAGGGCCAATGTTCTGTAATAAAATAGTTCAGCCTTTAGTAACAAAACACTCTACAGAACTGAATTACTGATGATCAATTTTAAACAACTGGGTGGTCCTTAGCACTGTGGAAACATTAGTTCCTTTATTTTGATCTGTCCTTGTATCTATTCTAGGAAGCACCCCATTAGGGTGCTACAAAAAGCTGATTGAATATTACAAGAACGGAGACCTGTCCTTCAAGTATGTGAAAACCTTTAATATGGATGAATATGTAGGTGAGTCACCAATTCCATGACATGGGGCTGGGGTGGGGGAACAGGCACAAGCAAGCTTTTTACCTGCTTTGTCTCCCCCTCCCCACCCAACTTTGTGATAGATGAAATGTAGGTATTTCTGGTTTGTTTCATTTACTACACTGTTAATCTCGTTGTAGAAAAAGCAGTGCCAGATAATCTAGAGAGGAGGGAAATGAGCACAGTGTCCCTTTGAGTTAGTTTCTTGGCAGCCACCTGGCTGACTTTGCCTTGTCACACTTTGCTGTCTGAACTCTGTAACTTGCTAATAGCAGTGCCATAACCAGTGCAGCGCAATCAGGGCAGCTGCCCTGGGCATGGACCTAGTTTGTCCAGTAAAAGCCACCACCCTAAGTAGCCCTTGTCTCGTACAACTTCCGGACCATCACAGCTACAATTATCACTCTTCACTATTGCTTAACTTGTAAATCATGTCCCATAACCTCTCTTTCAGAGATACTGAACATGTCCACTGCTGCTGCTATTCAATACAGCAAAGAATACCTTCTTCAATAGGATTCTCTGATTTGCTGATCCTGAAACTTGCACAATACAGCTATGAACATTCAGATAGGAAGAGAATTGAAGAGGGAGGCTGTATAAGCACCCATCACTACAGGCTATAGATAGAAAATATGGCTGATGGGGACCTCAGGAGGCCATCTAGTCCCAACTCCCTGGTCATGGCGGGATCATTCCTGTCTAAACCACCTCATCCAAGTGCTAATGTAATTGGCTCTATCTAGAATATACTAGAAGGCCGTCATCTGATGTTGTATCTGTTAGATACGCTTGGTGGTTTTGTGTGAGTTTCAGCACAACCTGGGTACTGCGAAGCACCCGATGACAACAGAAACAAGAGGTCAGAATACCAAGTAGTACAAATTAACAAACTGCACCTTTTTCCTCCAATTATGGGGGCCACCATAGCTTTAAATCTTGCTATGTCAATAAAGGAATCCTTCCCAAAATGCTGCTTGCAGAATGGAACACCTTTTGAACATCCTTGTTTTAGTCCTGATTTCTTCCAGTCAGGGAAATAAAATCTGGTGCAACTTTCTTGCTATTTTGCTAGCTCAGAAGAAATACTGTAATTAGTAATTGATTGAGAAAGGCAGGGCCTCCAGCTAGAATGTCCTTTAGACTTACTGATAGGCTCCTGTTTTGCTAGATGGGGATTGCCTCGTTTATGAGGTTGTGGTGCAATACCCCCTTGTATGCAGCATGCAGAGACCATTGGACAAATACTCTGGTTATTGAGGTAGCTAATATGAATGCTAAATATGCACACTCTGGCTGCTCTTTGGCCTTGTCTAACTGCTATTGCACGCAATTCCTGGTCTGAGTACTTAAAGAACTTGCGTATTTTTCTATGAGCAGTCTTCATGCAAGAAACTAGCCCCATAAAGACATCCTAGATAGGCTGCTTATAACTCTCAGGGAAGTCTCAAAAAATCAAACTAGCTAGTCTCTTAGTCATTGCTTCCCAGGCTTTTGGCACAGTGGTAAAAGTCTCTTATTCATGCTAATTTAGAGCACAGCTGTAAAGACAATAACCAGTTACACTTGTGCATCTGCTTTTTTGGAAAAGAAGCTGTTCCATGATAGTATAATACCCCAACCAAAGCACAAGAATGATTTGCCTCTCCCTAGCAGTGGGATCTTATTCAAATTATGTATTATTTTTAATACAAAAATTTAAGAAAATGCAAAACTCAAGGAAATGAAAGAAGCCCAGAGTGAGAAAGAAGAGGTAGCTGGCATCTTGTTTGTAATCAAAAACACTGAAAGTCCATGCATAGTTAGGTACCTTTCTTACAGCATAGATGTATATCCCTCTCCTGTCCTCACTTACTTGCCATTTTCAGGTCCCAACCCTGGAAACTACTCTGTACAAGGCACTGAGGTCACAGGGGCTTTAAATGCATGCAGGTAACTGCCAATGCAGAACAGCTTGCAGGATCAGGACTTTGGATTGTACAGTGCCCAGTCTTGGCACCTGTCTTGATTGGGGTCTGCAGACACAACTGTAATATAAGCATGAATAACAAACATCCCTATTCTCTAGGTCTTCCAAGGGATCACCCAGAAAGTTATCACTCCTTTATGTGGAATAACTTTTTCAAGCATATTGACATCTCTCCAGAAAACACCCACATCCTGGATGGAAACGCAGCTGACCTACAAGCAGAGTGTGATGCTTTTGAGGGAAAAATTAAAGCAGCTGGAGGGATCGAACTGTTTATTGGAGGTGAAAATCTGAAGGAATAATGAATCCTTACTAGTTGGAGGGAATGCAGCCTGGTTCTACCATAGTTCTAGTTAACTGTCTGGGGAATTCCTTTTTTAAAGCAACTTACTAGGCTCCTAGGAAGTCAAGTTGTACATCTACCTCTCCACTAACAGTACGTTACCTATTTCCATTTCCTCTGATTACTGGGAACAGGGTGCTGGGACAGTGGAAACTAACAGAAATCTTGCTACAGTCAGCTTGCCTTTGACAACTAACTTTCCCATTACTTTTATTGCCCCTCAAATGTGCGGGAGTCTGGTTCTGCCCCTCCTGTCTTGCATGGGGATTCTGCCCTTAATTTCTTTCTAAGCTTTTTATGGTGAATGTGCTCCTTCCTTGTGTATCTACAACTATTAGTGTCTTTCTAATAAGATTGAGGTGGATTCTGCTTCCTACTGTAAGTGTTTAAACCAGTGACCTAGCTTTTTAAACTGTTTCCAACACAGGTATTGGCCCAGATGGCCATATTGCCTTCAATGAGCCTGGCTCAAGTCTGGTATCCAGGACCAGAGTGAAGACACTGGCTATGGACACCATATTGGCTAATGCAAGATTTTTTGATGGAGACCTCTCCAAAGTCCCCACAATGGCTCTGACAGTTGGAGTAGGCACAGTCATGGATGCCAGAGAGGTTGGAGAAAAATAGTCCCTTATTGCTGCTTGAGGACACTGTATTATTTCCTGGTGGCCAAGCTCTGCCCAAAGTTCTTCCTTGTCTTAACACTTATTTTAATGTAGCCATTCAATACAGTTAAACTAAGAACATCCACTAGGACCTCCCCAGTTAAGTTTACAAAACAGTGTGAGAACTACTAACTCACCTAGTGCTGTACTAGCAACGCGTGGGAGCCAGGGGACGGTGGGTGTTTTGAATTTATTTTTGTACCTCATAATGGTTAGGTCACTGCCTGTAGCTGCCTAATGTACCCAGCTTGTTGTGGCATAAAAACTAGGAATTCAAAGGACCAGATGCATTAATTCTAAAATGGTGAGACAGGCCATTGTTTCTCTGAGGCAAATGAAGCGGGGATAACAAAAAATTATTCTTGCCCTAGCTGACCTATGTGTCTACTATGTTTTGAATGTAGATGTACACAATTGAGTGTGCTCTTTCACCTGTGTGTTGCGGAGCCTGACAAAAGACCTCCTGTGTCTTGGAATTCAGGTTATGATTCTGATCACGGGAGCCCATAAAGCCTTTGCTCTCTACAAAGCCATTGAGGAAGGGGTGAACCACATGTGGACCGTCTCCGCCTTTCAGCAGCATCCCAACACTGTCTTTGTGTGTGATGAGGATGCTACGCTAGAACTCAAAGTTAAAACAGTGAAATACTTCAAAGGTGAGTAATTCGTCAGATCAAGCTGTCTCTTTGGCTAGCTTTTAAATTTTTAAGTGGCACATTTTGCCACAGGCAAAGGGAGAAAAAATTATTTGGGTAGCCGAGCATGCGCATGCCTCCCCCAAGCAGGTAAGTCTGTGGGGATATAGGGGGGAGGGCCGGAGGGTGCAGATTGATGCCCCAGCAGTGAGAGAGGGAGCAGGGCACAGGCAGGACCCAATCACCCAAGCCCCTGCTTCTGCCTGTGCTAGGCTCTGTGCTGGGCTCTTCCCAGTGGGGGGGGCTGGGTCAGGCTGCAGGTGGTGGCGGCAGTGTTGGGAGGGGGTGTTGCAGGGGCTATGGCAAAATTTGGGG